GCTTTCCATACCGGTTCCTCTGTGCCATAAAGGTTGGTATACTTGACTATCCCTTATTATTCTTCCTAAGGAAAATGTGGCTGGTCTCTTCAATCACTTTTCATAGGAAAGACTTTCCATATTTCCAATGACTGTCTTTACCTCTTCTTGAACTCCTTTTAGCTTTTAATGCTCATTTGAGATGGTCATTACCACTGAAGGTATGCTGTAGATGAGCCTGTATTTGTGGTTCACTGTAGACCCCGTGACTGTTTTCATGAACCCTTCTAAACCCTGTTAATGATTCTTTGGAGAGGTGGCCATGCTATAGCCTATGGGAAACATAAGTTTCTATTTCTTCATTTGGACCAAGCCTGTAAAATTCGTGTGGGAGAGAAAGGTAGATGATTAATGCACAGGGCTGGGAATCAGGAGAAATTATTTCTCCTTTAGGGCTTCTGTAGTCATGTCCTAGGGAAAACCACAAATGCCAAATGCAACCGTGTTCATATTTACTGCAGCAACAAATTTGCCTGTTAGTTTATGAAGCACTTTTCCCATAAGTAACATGCCAATATACATACATATGCATGAGTATTCTAATTATGAGTATGTGATGTGAAGTGCTGTGTATTTTGTTAGGTGGTATCCGTCTGTTTTAATGGCATCAGGATGATTGCATGGTCTGATTACTCTTCATGATTAGTCCTTTTGCATTCCCTGGTGTTTACAGATAGGAAGAAAAAGCAAATAGGAGCTCAATGCTGGAAGAGGAAATGGAGGGTTTTAGTCACAGTAATGACATTGCATCTATCAGATAAAATGAAGCTGTTTCACTGAAACTAGAAAACTTTTTAACCTATCTGACAAAAAATTTCAGGGACAAATCCATATGTACAAAAACATCTTAGCTGGAAGGAAAGAAGTCACGGTATTAATAGCACTGTGTCTGCTAGCATCTTATCACTGGATTAAGGTTAACAAGCACAGACTGAAGAATCGTAAGTAGATACGGCTGTGTGCTTGATTAGCAATTATTTAGGTCTCATTTGTGTAACACTCTTCCTGGCTTGAATTTGCCCCTGTGATAGTGCTAAAGGCTATCGCAAAGTGAGTTCAAAGACTATTCAGAGCATATAATCAACAGAACGTTTGATTAAAGCTGTTGCAACAGAAGAACTACATTTAAAAAGGAAAAGGATACGGAAAAAGGTGCTTCGATCCAGAAAGCAGCATATTCTTCATTTTAGTTCCAAGACAATCCTTTTAATCTCATTCAAGTGTTTACATGTATACTAAAACCTCACTGGAATTAGTGCCCAAAATGTAGTCTTTTAAAAGGTAAATCCTTCACAATGCTATAAGACATATCTTATGTGGGTTTTTTTATGTCCATGGTCATAAGGATGAGACTAATGAGCAATTGGGAATGTGGGGTAGCTTATTTATATATGTTCTCTCTCTATAGAACATATATTGAATACATATTACACATTGAATATTAGATATGACTACACAATATGTATTAAATAAGCATTGACTATATGCATAAACATTCCATATATATTAATGAGTATATTTGGAATATATATTAATACAGAAAAAATAGTATATATATTAATGAAAAAATATATGGAATGTTTAAGCATATATTTCATACTGGACTGTTTATTGGAATGTTAAATGGGAATGTGTCATTTTATGAGCTAGGTTATTACACTTGCTTTATAAAGTCTGAGTGAATATCCAAAGCGTCTGCTGAATAAGATTTTTCCTATCACTAGGATCAACAGCTGTTCACTGGCAATGCTTTGGTAAAAGAATCGCAGTTTGATGCATGTGTAGTGCGATAAGCTTAACCTAATCTTGGAGAGAACATTAAAGATAAGAAGCTCTGTTAGTGTCAGTTTATATATTTAAAAACTACCTAATCAAGACACTGTTTTGTAGTACTGAGTCCTCAGTTCCATTAGATCTCAACAGTAGTAATGGTAGTGATTACCATTTATTTTGCCATACTGTATCGTCCTCTGGTATTCTTTCTCTGCCTTTGGCAAACAGCTGAGTATAATTACTATTTGTTTAGTCAGACTTTAGAATAAAAACTAAATCCACTTTTCTGAAGGAGGCTTGTACCTTTCTGGGCATAACCGTGACCAGTTGTAGTAACAGCGATACCCACGTCTCAGGTGTGCTGTGTGATCCGGTCCATGGGTGATTTTTATGTGTTGTTCTAAGACATGTTCTTCCTTTTTCTTGCAGGAGAACCAGAATTTAAATATGTTGGGAATATGCATGGGAATGAAGCTGTTGGAAGGGAGTTGCTTATCTTCTTGGCTCAGTACTTGTGTAATGAATACCAGAAAGGAAATGAAACTATTATCAACTTGATCCATAGCACTCGTATCCATATCATGCCGTCTTTGAACCCGGATGGCTTTGAGAAGGCAGCATCCCAGGTTTGTAAGGTTATGTATATAAGAGTAGTTATCAATGTCTATATTAACCTTAGGACCATAATGACAGTAGAACTAGAAATTTTACAGAAACTCTTGGTGATGATCATTGAATGGAACAATGTAACTGCAGTATTTCCTATAAGTACAGTAGGCTTGTTCTGTTTAACAAGGAGGATTTTATGCTTGGGTTTTCAACAAATAGCCACTTCTGTTGTGAGTTTACTGTATTTTAAAATATAATGATGTTTACGTTTCTGTATTTTTTCATCTAAGTTCACTGACTGAACTGCTTCCTAAGCAAGTAACTTCTAGTAATGCATTATGTTTCAAAAGTGGTAGGAAAGGGAAAGCTGATATTTCCTTTAAGAATATTCTCATGCAAATTCCCTTACATGAATTATTCACATTCATCAGAGCTTGATCCCAAAACAAGCAAACTTTATGAGCTGTCTTTTTAGTATGAATAACTTTGATTCTAAATTTCAGGCATGAGGTACTTTAATTAAGCCATTAGTCAAGAAGATTTAGCATGTATTTTAAGATGACAACTCAATCAAGGAATATGTAATGTGTTAACGCATAATTAGCAAATAGAGGCCAAATAGGACCCAGTTGTATACAGCTTCTGGTGTGTATTATGTTCTAAACAAAAGAATTTTCTTGTTTCACAAGGTATGTTTATTTTTTAAATCAATACGGAAATGTTGACTCTTTTTATGTGACTATTTATTTATGATTAAATAAGTCAAACCTTATTAAGATCTTTATTAAACTGAGTCTTACGAAGTCTTTAAAAAAAAAAAACCCAAACCCTTTTAAACCATATTCGGTCTTACGTCTCCCTCTTGTGGCAATGAAGCAGAACCTGTCCTCAAATTGGTGCAGTATTTTACTTTGAAATCTCTCTCTGTAAAGATCCTGTTATTATTCAGTATTATTTGAAAGTTTTGCTACTTAGTCAAAGTACACTTGCTTTTACATGGTTGCCTTAAAAGTTTCGTATGATTTATAATAAAATTTTCTTTCGTGCCACTCTTATTGTAATTTGGAAGTATTTTGATCCTGTACACAGTGTGTGACAGTAGATTCAGTATAACCCAAGATTAAAACCAAAGTAACCAAACTAAACCTACTTTAAAGCATACTGAAAGCTTATAGATACAAGCTGGGGAAATGCTCTGGAGGCATCCTTAATGCAACCTTTTTTTTAGAGAATCAGCTTAAAGATAGGATTTTGTAAAAATTCTCATTGCATCTTTAGTCAGTGCTACCATTTCAGTAAATGAAACTGACAGACACCATAAAAATAAAAATCTCAGGTAAATAAAGATTAAAGTCCTTCTTTACCCTGAAGCCATTTAGACAAACTTTGAAACGAGTGCAAATGTTCCTTGTGGCTGGCAGATAAAGCTACGGCTGCTCTGAGGCTCCCTAAAATGAGGTCTGTAATTCACAACCACAGGCATGATGCAACAGAGAGAAGCCAGGTCTTGGAGTAAGACTCAGCAGGCATTTAAAAATCTGATGCTGCTGGTAATTTTGCCCATCCTTAGTCCAGATCTGCCACTGAGAATGATCTCTCCTCCAAGATGCTGAGTGAAATAGAGGTTGGTTTTGTTCCCCCAGAGTCTAGGAAGAAATAGGGGTGATTCAGCTCTTGGTGCTTCAGAATTCTTTACTTCCACATGATCCCTTCTTATTATTGAGAACATGAGAAGTAAACCCATGATTTGAATTTACATGGCTAAATATTCCGTGTAAAGCTTGATATGGAATCTCCTTAATCTACTTATCTCCCTTCTCTTTCTGTTCCCTTTCCTCATTCAGCCAGGTGAACTTAAAGACTGGTTTGTTGGCCGAAGTAATGCCCAAGGGATAGATCTAAACCGAAATTTCCCTGATCTTGATAGAATAGTCTATATTAATGAGAAAGAGGGTGGCCCAAACAACCATCTGCTGAAAAACATGAAAAAAGCTGTGGACCAAAATCCTAAGGTAAGTAGGGACTGAATATTGGGTCACTTACATGCCCATCTCTTTCCTTTTACACAAGCAGACATGCAGCAACCTCTAAGAGCTGTGTGTATCATCTTTAGGATTCACATTCTTCTAAATATTTTGTTCATTTTGTTAAATTTATCTGATGCTTCCTGAAATTCTTCTCAAAACGGCTTTCTGTAGTAAACCGTTTTGATCCATATTGCTTAATCCTGAGACAATTCCACATTCAAAGCATGTTTGATTTTTTAAGGCCAGAGATTGCGTAGTCTTGTCCCTTGGTTTGAAGCTATTCTTGCAGATATTCTGCATTTTTACCATTGCCAGGAATTCACTTGTGTGGTGTACTTAATTACATTGCTGGCTAGATAGCTATTCTCACATATAACACATTCATTTTTGTTAAGCTTAAGCCTTAAATATACAGGCGTATATCTGGAGGGATTTTTATCTTCTTGTGTTTACCCACACAGGAGGTTCTAGAAAATCTAATGTTGTGACTGCAGTCCCATAGGGTTGTGGCCTTAATAGCCATATTCTGTCTTCAAATTCAAATTATTAAATGAAGTGTTTTTATTTTTAGTGCAGAGAATAGACTGCATCCTACCAACATTTATTTTTAATTAGTTTATTTTCACAGAATCACAGAATGATAGGGGTTGGAAGGTACCTCTGGACATCATCTAGTCCAACCCCCCTGCTAAAGCAGGTTCACCTACAGCAGGTTGCACAGGATCCCATCCAGGCAGGTTCTGAATATCTCCAGAGAAGGAGACTCCACAGCCTCTCTGGGCAGCCTGTTCCAGTGCTCTGCCACCCTCAGAGTAAAGAAGTTTTTCCTCATGTTCAGGTTTTCCATGGTTTTAAATTTGGTAGGCTTTTTTTTAGCCATGATGGGAAGAATTAAAAGGTTGCTTTATTTGTGGTCTTGTTCTGAACAAATTTACACCAGTCTGAGCCTCATGTTATTCTACTTAGAATGATTCTGATGTAAAGATCTGATTCAGTTCTCTCTGAAGCCGAAATAGAATTGCCGTTCCTGTAAATGTCTCATACAATGTATGTGATAATAATTAAGCCCACTATATGTAATTGAATACATTTCTACATTGAAGTATCAATTTTTAAATGCTGGCAATGCTATTCATTGTAGCTTGCTCCTGAAACAAAAGGTGTCATTCACTGGATTATGGATATTCCCTTTGTCCTCTCTGCCAATCTTCATGGAGGAGACCTCGTTGCAAACTATCCTTATGATGAGACTCGGAGTGGTATGTACTAGAAGTTAACGTGAAATAGTAGGAGATATAAATGACTTTCTACACTTAATTCACTGCTACCTAACATCCACTTTGTAAACATCGTGTCATGGCATTGTAATGACTTATTTTAGCATATTAATCATGTTTAAAGCTAGTCACTGTATGGCTATATTTCCTAGTTTTCCAGATAGATGTCTTGTTTCAGTAGAGTTACATCACAAAAATGATGTAATACCTGCGGGAGTCAAGGCAACTAAGCACTTAAATTAGCTGGGGCTGTTTGTAACCTGTTAACTGAAGCAAGAGAGATGTGTCTAGGTTGCCTGTATGGTGTAAGGTTTATCTACTTGCACCTTTAAAAAATGAATCTTAGAAAGCAGTAGTGTGCTAATAAAAACAACTGTCATTGTTTCGATTTTCTCAATATTGGTCCTGTATGAAAAGGGTCACGTTGTGGCAGAGATGTTATCATTTAGCACATAGCAATATTAGTTTTGTTTTTTCTTCCACTAGGGGATGTGCACATGACTGAAATGGTCATGAGATAATGGTAGTGTTTGTGATTGTCTTCCTTCAATCTACTTTCTCACAGTTTAATTGCAAATCCTTTTAATATCAGACTGTAAAACTCTTTAGGGAGAGATTTTTTTTTTCTGTGTATTGAGTGTTCTTCTAAGAAAAGATCTAAAATAGCTTAGATTTTGTGGTGCACTTTGAAATTAATATTTTCATAAATATTAGGACTGATATGAATAGTCACCTTAATAATGGGGCAACCTGGTACAGGCAATTGATGAGGTGTTGGGGAAGTGTTAATGTTGTTAAGATAATGCTATATTAGTTTGTGATGCTGTAGGACACTTACCCTTGTACAGAGAATTTCCAGGCACAGTCCTGCTTTGCAGTGCTGGTAATGTAGGTTGTAAACCCAGTTGGTATGACTGCCCTTTTAAGAATCCTTGTTCCTGGACTTTTTTTTCCTCTCTAGGCAGTGCTCATGAATACAGCTCCTGCCCCGATGATGCTATTTTTCAAAGCCTGGCTCGCAGTTATTCTTCTTTTAATCCCACTATGTCTGATCCAAACAGACCCCCATGTCGTAAAAATGACGATGACAGCAGCTTTGTGGATGGAACAACTAATGGCGGTGCATGGTACAGCGTCCCGGGAGGTGAGCCCCATTGTGTGTGTGTGGGTTCAGTACTTGTTTTAAGCTTGTGTTTTCACTAGTTTAATTACAGACTGGTATAATACCAGGTTATTCATAACTTTTGGTGTGGTTAAGGCTAAATCAGAGAAGGGTCTCTCACCACAGTGCATCTACACAGTCCCATAAAGCTCATCATGATGTCTATTAAAATGTTCCTCTTTTATTGTTTTTTTATACAGTGTTTCTCCACTCAAGATTTGCAAATTTACTAGTTCTGCAGTGGGTGAGTGATTGCTATGCTATCCTGAGAGCTTAGGAGGTGTTTTTAAAATCAAAAAAGAGTAAAAAGTCCCCTAGCAAACCCTGATGAGAGAGAGCAGGCTACTAACTGTTCATTTAAACCTCAATCATGAAGGCATCCAACCTTGAAAGAAGTGGAGAGGCCTGATTTTGCAATGTTATTGACGATGGGAGTTTGGCCTTTGATTTCCATGGGAACAAAATCTGGCCGTGAAAATACTTGCATCTCCATACTTTGTGGCTTAATTAGTGCCTGAATCCTGCCCAGGTAGTGTTTTCCTAGACTTCGGTAGAGCCTTCTGTGCGAAGAGGAACAGCAGAACTGCTATGGCCACTTGAACACTTAATTTTCCAGGAGAAGTCTGGAACAGTAGCCTGAAATGAGACATTTCATTCCTTTTTACTATAAATTTTGATGTATCATTTTCTTTGTAAGCTGAGGCAAAAAGGTGTTGTGATATCTAAAGATGAGTCCTCTATGTCTGCTAAACTTGGACAAAACTTCAGAATGAAAACTGAACTGAGGATTTCTGAGCTAGAAATTCAGCTTGTGTTGAAGTGACTTGCCTGTGCATTGGCTTTGTTGATTTGTACTAGATGATTTTGAACATGCATACCAGTTTCATTGTTTGCTTTCCTCTTAATATTCAGTTACAGTCTCTGAATGAATTTTAAATTTTTACCTGGATTGAGTAGGAATCTCTCAAAGCAGTAGGACAGCTTAGGTGGTAGCCTAACTCTGCTCCTCTTACAGTAAAGTGGGTACTAGAGAGAAAAATAATTAAGCTCCTGTGAAGATATTAGAAGCAGAACAATGACTGGTAATGCTCACACAGCCAGCAACCACCTACTTAAACTTAGAGTTGTTACTCCCAGTCTTCACAGGAGCAGCGTGTTTCCTTTACTGTGGTACCGCAGGTACCAGGGACTGGGTGTAAGGAAAAATGTTGACATTTCTGAATATAACCGAAAAGCAAAAATTTCCCATTGTGTGAAGCTTTCCACAGACTTCAAATTGGAACATTAAAACACCCTTGACAAAACAGAGTTTGCATAATTTGAAAAAAAAAACGGAATATACATAAAATATTGAGAGGTTTAATAGTTAATTTTTGTTTCAATTCAGTCCAAAAATTATCTTAATGAAATATTAACTATAAAAATTTGGACACATTTAACTTCAGCTTCTTTTTCCTTAGGAAAATGCTATAAAAAAAAGTCTTTCCATTGTTTTGATTAAATGCTTTGATTCTGACTAAACTGCACATGCCAAAGGCACATTTTTCCATTGGAAAAACTCGTTGGAAAGTTTGAATTATTTCCTCCTTTTAGATCTTATTTTAAGTTAGACTACAAATTCTCCACATGAGCCCTTTCTTTTTCCCATGTATTTGTACAGAGCTTAGTAGGCAGGAATCTTAGTTCTAAGCAGGATCTATGATTCTAGTATGGTACAGGTAATAAAAAATAGATGACAATATACTTTGGACTATACAGCATGATTTTTTTTTCCCAAGTGTAGAAATCAGCTGGCAAGCTGTGACTTGTGAACGAAACCTCCATGGTAATGTTTGCCACAGGCTGACTTAAAAAAAAAAAAAAAAAAAAATTCAGCAAAAACAGTTCTCTTGTTTCCATGTCTAGTGCTAAGGAAAATAACTAAACATCGCTTAGTTCAAATGAGAATTTCCTTGGAAGCTTTAGTCTGAAAAGCTCTGTCTGGAAATGTGGCATGTAAGTTATCTGTTCTACCAGTCACCTTTTGCTAGCCATATGATAACACACTCAAAGTTAGCAGTAGTATAAGCTATTGAAAAGCCATTTGCATTGCTTTATGAAAAGTGTTTTATTGTATATCCTTAACAGAGTTCAGAATTTATCAAGAGAAACTCTCCAAAGACCTTGTCTGCACGGCATCTGCTCCAGTTTGGAGCTAAGGTGGTTCTTCTCTGCCTTTGCACCTTTGGGTTGCTGTGGGCTGTTCTAAGTCCTGCAAGGGGGTGTGAGAATAGCTCGGTGTCCTTTGGGCATCTACAGGTTAGGCTTTCATCCGTCTCTGATCTCCCTGGGTTGAACGGAGGCAAAATAAAGAAGACTTGCCACAAGTTTGTAGAGAAGGGAGGAGAACTGAAGCAATGTGGTTGGGAATAGAGATAGAAAATAGGTGAGAGTAAGTACTGGAGCTGTGTTTGGTGTATGTAATTAATGATTTCACTTATGTACAAGAAAGCCAAATTAAATTTGCATAGACAGCTTTAACATTTGCATTTCATTAGCTGTTGAGTGCATAACTTTTCAACATGGATAATGTTTTTTTAATGTACCTTTTGTGTGGAATATCTTTTGGGAAATATAAATAAGAAGAGCAGAGAGCAATGAATTACTAACTAGCCACATGCCTATTCTGCTTGTTCTGTCATTACAGAGTCACCTGAGTCTAATCAGATTCGTGTTATTACAAAAATAGCATTTCAAAGCAGCTTACATTGCTGTACTATTAGGCTATTGTTTAAGTGTCTTTTTATTTTCAGATACTCTTAAATCACTCGTGGCACTCAATTAATTTGTTCCTAACTTGAATTACCTTTCATGTTACCCATTTTGGAAGCAATGTTAGCTAAATTTTTTTAGGATTTTATACAACATGTGTAGGAGGCACATGTTCTCCCTATTATGCACAAGGCTCAGGTTCATCCTGTCCTGCTAAAAGTTACTGTCTTTCTCTGTGTAGAAGCTGAACTAGCTTAGTGCTGTAGCTTGTAATTCAAAGTCTAAGTAATATTGATGCCTGGATGCCAGGGGAACACTTTCTTTGTGAAGGTTGGAGTTCCTTTTTTTAACAGCTGAAGAAATTAATTTTGTCCCATATTCTTATTTATGTGGGTACTGACACAGAGACACTGCCATCCTTCAGGACAGTAGAGCAGTGCAACAGAGGAGTGTTTGTGTTGCTCAGTTTCAAAGGGAAGTCCTACCTGTGGTCAGCAGTGAAGGGCATGAATCTCAGTTATATCAGGTCTGCTAAGCCTTTCTGATTTTCAGAGAGTGGTCCCTGTTAAAGAATAGGAAATTTAGTTTTGTGCTATCCTTTGTTAAAATGAGAGGCTTTGGGTGGTGCGCCTGTATGTGATGTATGCCACGTGCATAACAAGAAGGAAGAGAGCAGTTAGAGAGCTTGATCGATGCAGCAAAGTTGCCGAAATGTTGAATAAATCTCTTGAAATGTATTGATTTCTTGGATATTGCACCTAATTGCATATTGAACAGGCAAGTAAAGAGTGAAAATTGTATGTAGCCAGCCAGATGCCCTCCAGATTACAGATGTAGTAGGCGACAGTTTAGATCTAGGTTACCTTCATTCCATTCACCCTCCCAGAGATTCAGATCATCCTGCAGCTCGATGCAAGCTGAATTTTTTCAGGAGCAACACGTACGTATAAACTGTGGCCCAGGACAGGAGCTGGGAAAGGGTATGGATATTGTGCACAAAACTGGAAAATATATTGCTTCTTTAGTCTGTCCTTGAGAAACTAAGTCATCCCTGAGTATCACCTTGCTTTAGGAGGTGGTGGTGAGGGAGAAACTTCCTGAGAATTGGAGCAGTAATGGTCAAGGGTTGTTGGCATCACAGTAGATTACATCATGCCCTTCAGTTTCCCAATTCTCTTCTTCATGGATTCTTTCTTTCTTGTAGAAAAAAGGCAAAAATCAAGAAAAACAAGTTTCTGGAACAGATGCCTAGCAGTTAGCACTGCTGTCAGGATTTTACTCATGACCCTGCTGCTCTCTCTCTGTATACTGCTGAATGGTCCGTCTTGCATTCTGCCTGGTGGGACATCAGAGCCATCCCTCCCAGTAGCACCTTTGCCTTCTGTGTCCTCATTTTTCAGCTATCTAAAAAAAGGCTTAGAAATAAAAATGTTGTTTTAGAAATCTGACAAGTCCCTGTTATTATCAGCAGTTAGGAGTCTTGTTGCCTGGTTGGCAGAGAACAGATTCACCCTAATGTGTTGGCAAAATCCAACCTGACTCAATCTGTTCACTGCCCTTGGTGTTCTGCTTCGGATATGACGTCAGCGCTGGACATTTCTGGACTAGTGCTTCGATAAAGAGACTACATTAGGTGTCATACATAGCTTGTGTTGGGGAGCACAATGCTGAATGAGTTAGCTGTGTTTGAAGCACTTTTACATCCTTTAGTGACCTCCATAGGGATACTTGAAATGCTTGGTAGCCTTTTTCTTTCCAGTCCTCTGTTTGAGAATCCACTGACTCTGATAGCTAGCTAGACTGGGAAGGCAAGTGCTCATTCTGCAAAGAATACATTTATAACCCTCCTGGGGACAGCCACAGTCCCTCTTCAGCTGGTTGATCTGGTTACAAAAATGGAAACCACTTTGGCTATCTGTTGACTAATTTCAGAAAATAGTCAGTATTTCCATGTAGTAAGAGGAAAGGCTCAGAAGTGTAAAAGAGTACATCTTTCCCATCAAGGTTTTATTCCTAGTGATGATGCTGCTGTGTATATTTTTAAATTTGTATGATTAAAGTTGCAGTAATAATGATGTTTCTCTTAATGTATTGATTATTGATTTTGCAGAGGCATTGAGTGGGTGGGAAATATCCCTATCCATGGAAAAATTTCTGTGTAAATGAAGTTTATAGGAAGTTTGCTTTTTTTTTTTTTTGGTGGGAAATCATAAATATTTGGAATCTATGCCAAGAAGCTTGACAAAGAATATTCCTTAAGAAACAGATGCTTTTCTTGTAAAATGTTACTAATTTGAAAACTTATATTTTCAGAAAAAAAACATGTTTTTGATCAGTCTTTTTAAACATCTTTGATTTCAAAGGCACTTTGTCAGGTTTCATTTGCTTTATAATTAATTGTTGTTCTTCTTGGTTTACAAAGTGAACAACTTTACTTTCATCTGGAAATATTTTAGCCATAATCAGAAGTAATTTTCTGTTCCTGAAGAGAAAAAAAAAAAGTAACTTATATGTCAACTATTCAAAAATATATGTCAAGTAGGAGTATACAGGCCACATGCAATGCCAGGTAGAAGCGTACAGGCCAGGTGTTAAGTCTTTTCTGAACTTCCCTTTAGAAGAAAATATTTTGGGGAATTAATTTTCTTGTTGGTTTCTCTGATTTAATGCCTTTAATTTCACTACTAAACTGATTAAATGGAACTGCACCAAGTGTATTTATGGCTATTCTTTTCTTAACAGCCCCAGCATCTCACATGCCCCCCCTTTATTTACTTCAGGATAATGCAA